CAAGTTTTTGGCGCCATTGTCGGGGATTAATTACGCCAATATTATTTTTAACCTTCGATCTTTGAGATTGGAATTTTTATTTTATTTTTACTGATTTGATTTCTCTCTTATATGCGAGGTAAAGTTGATCGAGACTCTTTACAGTTTGATCCAGAAATCGAAAAGACTGCAAAGAAGACAGGAAACTCGCTAAGCAAAGAAAGCAAGAGAAATCCTCGAGTTCATAGCCAAAAGAAAAACCCGAGATGGCAGGAAATAATCTGCCACATTATGAAGAGAAGTTGATGGAGTCTATCCTCACTCCTAATTTCACAAGACCAAACTCGAGTATCACGAGACCAACGATCGCGGCTAATAACTTTGAAATCAAGCCAGCGTTGGTCACACTGATTGAGCGATCTCAGCTCAAAGGAGAGGATGCTGAAGATCCTCGTGAGTTCCTTGACAGATTCTTGATGATCTGTGACACTGTCAAGAACAACAGGGTGTCAGAAGATGCACTACGACTGCATTTGTTTTCATTTGCGGTGACAGACGGAGCACTCAGATGGGTGGAGCAGCAACTAGCAGCGAACAACATTAGAACATATGAAGATTTAGATGCGAAGTTCTTAGCTCAATTCTTCCCAATGACGAAGTATAACAGGTTGGTGAATGAAATCACCAATTTCATCCAAGCTGATGGAGAGACTTTATGTGCAGCCTGGAGAAGATTTAAGGAGTTTCTGAGAAAGTGTCCTCAGTACGAGCTGCGACCTGGAGAAAAAGTTTTAATTTTCTTCAACGGGATGACACCATCTTCAAAAATGGTAGTCAATGGTGCAGCTGGTGGATCGATCAGACAAAAGACACCGACTCAGACTCTAGGGCTGATTGAATCCATGGTGATGATGGAGAATGAGAGTATAGCGGCTCAACCGAAAAAGGAGTCTTTCAGTTAGACAACAATGATGCCATGTCAGTTGAACAGAAGCTGCTCTCACAACAGGTCGTTATTTTAAATATCAAGTTCGAAAAGTTTCATCCTTCGTCAGATCAAGCAAAGACACTCTCCGGTGAATACTGTCACGGAGATCATAAAACCAATGAGTGCAGTGTTCTCATGGGATCAGACTCGATTCAAGTCAATGGGATCTAGTATGATCAGAGAACTCAGCCGAATCCTCAACAGAGTCAGAACAACAATGTTGGAAACAATTTCAACTCCAGATGGAAGAATCAAGGAGGATTGGATTACAAATCCAACCAATATTTACAACCTCCTCCAATTCCACAGACTCAACCATCTAAACTAGAGATAGCACTGATACAGTTGACAAAGACGACTGACATATTCATGAATGAGACAATGACTCATCACAAAAATTAAGATGCATCTCTCAGAAACTTAGAGAGCCAGATTGGCCAGCTGTCAAGACAGCTTGAAGAGAGGACTAAAGGCCAATTTCCAAGTAACACCATAATCAATCCGCGAGAAGACTGCAAGTCAATCACTACAAGGAGCAAAATTATGATTTCTCCACAAGAAAAGCCAAAAGTGGTTCAGAAAAAGAAAGTTGATGAACCAGTAATTGAACCAGAGCAAGAAAAAGAGGAGGAAACACCTGCAATTGAAAAAGAAGAGCCAGCTAAAAAAGACAAAGGAGAGGCAGAGAAGAAAGCTGCAGAGACTCCAAAGAAACAATAGGATTTCTCTCGCTTTGAGAAACTCTCATATCCCATAAAGTCAAAGCAGCAAGCACAGAAACAACAGCATGCCAGGTTTTTAGAAATGTTTAAAAAGTTGCAAATTAATATTCCTTTTGTTGTAGCTTTAGCTAACATGACTAACTATGCTAAGTTTATGAAAGGTCTTTTGTCTAGAAAGCATAAATTGCAGGAATTTGAAACAGTGGCTCTCATAGAGGAGTGTAGTGCCATAATTCAAAAACGTTTCCACCGAAGCTTCGAGATCGAAAGAGTTTCAACATCCCGATTGCGATAGGCAACATTAATGTTGGTCGGGCATTATGCGATATTGGAGCAAGCATCAATCTCATGCCGTTATCAGTAATGAAGTCCCTCGGAATTTCTGAGCTGAAGCCCACTATGGTGTCTCTCCAACTTACTGACAGATCTCTGAGAAGACCATACGGAGTAATTGAAGATGTACTTGTCAAAGTGGACAAATTAATCTTCCCTGCAGACTTCTTGGTCCTTGACATGGAAGAAGAAGGAGACATGCCCCTGCTTTTGGGAAGACCTTTCCTTGCCACAGCTAGAGCCATGATTGACGTGGAGAAAGGAAAGCTGGAGTTGAGAATGGATGACGAAAAGGTCACCATTAATATTTTTGATGTTATGAAGCATGCTTAGGATAATAGAGATTGCTTCCGGGTGGAAATTTTAGAGGAGCTATTCCTCGACAGGAAAGATGATGACCAAACACAAAGTTCTTTGATGAGAACCCTCCAAAGGAAAATTCTGAAGTTCCAATGGAAGTGTTAAAGAAGGAGTCGGACATCACAGTTGAAGCACCAAAGGTGGAGTTAAAAGAGCTTTCATCTACTCTTAAATACGTCTTCTTAGGAGATGCAGAGACGTATCATGTCATCATCAACAAAGAGCTAACTGATTCTGAAGAAACCAAGTTGATGAAAGTTCTCAAGGACCACCAGACAACAATAGGGTGGTCCATCTCTGACTTAAAAGGAATTAATCCTTCCTTTTGCACTCACAAAATACTTATGGAAGACAACATTAAACCTGTGAGGCAGCCTCAGAGACGACTCAACCCTACCATGAAAGAGGTAGTTCGGAAGGAAGTAGTGAAACTCCTTGATACAGGCATGATTTACCCAATATCAGACACTGCATAGGTGAGTCCAGTTCAAACAGTGCCAAAGAAGGGTGGAGTTACATTGATCAAGAACGAGAGCAATGAATTGATTCCCACTAGAACTATAACTGGGTGGAGAATGTGTGTGGGTTACAGAAGACTAAATGATGTCACACGGAAAGATCACTTCCCTCTTCCTTTCATTGATCAGATGCTGGAGAGATTGTCTGGACATGCATATAACTGCTTCTTAGATGGATATTCCGGCTACAATCATATACATGTTGCACCAGAGGATCAAGAGAAGACAACATTCACTTGCCCCTTTGGAGTGTTTGCCTACAGAAGGATGTCGTTTGGCCTGTGTAATGCACCTGCTACTTTTCAAAGGTGCAAGCTTTCCAACTTTTCTGATATGATTGAAAAATCCTTAGAGGTATTCATGGATGATTTTTCTATTTTTGGTTCTTGCTTTGATTCATGCTTAGTTAATCTTTCTAAAGTGTTGAAACGTTGTCAAGAAACAAACTTGGTTTTAAATTGGGAAAAGTGTCATTTCATGGTGAAAGATGGGATAGTGTTAGGTCATAAGATTTCTAAAAAAGGGATAGAAGTTGATAAAGCTAAATTGTTATTGATTGAAAAACTTCCCCCTCCCGTTAACGTTAATGGTGTTCAAAGTTTCTTAGGCCATGCAGGTTTTTACAGAAGATTCATCAAGGACTTCTCCAAAATTGCAAAGCGTTTGAGTCAACTCTTGGTGAAAGATACTGACTTTGATTTTAATGAAGAGTGTTTGACTGCTTTTAACGTTTTGAAGGAAAAACTGACAACCGCGCCTATTCTGATGGCGCCTGATTGGAATCTTCCATTTGAGCTCATGTGTGATGCGAGCGCATACGCAATAAGAGCTGTTCTTGGTCAGCGTAAGGATAAATTGTTGCATGTTATTTACTATGCTAGCAAGGTTTTAAATGAGGCACAAGTCAATTATGCCACAACTGAAAAAGAAATGCTAGTTGTAGTTTATGCATTAGATAAGTTTAGACCTTATTTGATAGGTTCTAAGATTATTGTTTTTATTGATCATGCTGTCTTAAAGTATCTAATGAGTAAACAGGATGCAAAGCCACGACTGCTGCATTGGATGCATCTGTTTCAGGAGTTTGACTTAGAGATACGAGAGAAGAAGGGAGTTGAGGACAAAGTAGCTGATCATTTGTCAAGGATTCAGGACAAAGAACTGCAAGATGGACCTTACATTGAGATCAAAGAATCCCTCCCTGATGAACAAGTGATGGTAATTCTCATTGGACCATGGTTCGTGGAATTCGCGAACTACAAAGCTGTCAGATCACTTCCTGAAGACCTCACATGCCAACAGAAAAAGAAGTTCTTGCATGATGCAAGGAGGTACCACTGGGATAACCCATTCTTATATTCTCAATGTGCTGACGAGATTATTCGCAGGTGTGTAGCTGAATTTGAAATTCCAAAGATCCTGTGGCATTGCCATGCATCTGACTACGGAGGACACTTTGGTGGGAATAAAACTGCACAGAAGGTCCTGCAAAGTGGATTCTACTGGCCCACAATATTCAAAGATTCGAAGGAGTTCGTAGAGAAGTGCGACAGGTGTCAGAGGACGGGAAATATTTACCGAAGAGACGAGATGCCATTGAATTGCACTCTGGAAGTGTAAGTCTTCAATCTATGAGGAATTGACTTCATGGGACCATTTCCCAAGTCATATTCCAACCAATACATCCTGGTTGCTGTGGACTACGTGTCCAAGTTGGTGGAAGCAATGGCCCTACCGACAAATGATGCTAAGGTGGTGGTGTCCTTTATGCAGAAAAATATCTTCACCCGATTTGGAGTTCCAAGAGCCATCATCAGTGACGGAGGAACTCACTTTTGCAATAAGCAGTTTGACGGCCTTCTCACGAAGTATGGAGTCACACACAAGGTGGCTACGCCATATCATCCTCAGACAAGCGGGCAAGTGAAGATCTCCAACAGAGAGCTGAAGTGAATACTGGAGAAGACTGTGGGAAGCTCAAGAAAGGATTGGGCAAGGAAGCTATACAGAACAGCTTTCGAAACTCCCATAGGTATGTCACCATTATAATTGGCATATGGTAAGTCCTGTCATCTCCCTGTTGAATTAGAGCATAAAACTATGTGGGCAACTAAATTTCTGAATTTTGAACCAACTAAAGCTAATGAAAAGCGATTACTGCAATTACATAAGTTGGATGAGTTCAGGTTAGCTACTTATGAGAATGCCAGGATATACAAGGAGAAGACAAAGAGGTGGCATGACAAGAAGATAACTCTAAAGGAGTTTGAGCCGGAACAGCAGATATTACTGTACACTTCTCGTCTGAGATTGTTTCTAGGTAAGCTCAAGTCTCGCTGGTCAGGTCCTTTTGTGGTTAAAAAGGTATACCCTTATGGCACAGATAAAATTTCACCTATAGACACTGACAACCCTTTTAAGGTTAATGGTTGTAGGTTGAAACTATACTATGGAGGACAGGTGAATAAGGATAAGATTTCTGTCCCTTTAGCTTCACCTGAGACTTAAGTTGTTCGCATCAGACTCGTGACATTAAACAAGCGCTAGTTGGGAGGCAACCCAATAGTCAATTTCAATTTGATTTATTTTATTTTTATTAGGTTAGTCTAAATTTCAACAAGTAAGGTAAATGGTGAAACTAATGACCAAAGGAAAAATTTTAATCTGGGAATTGGCGCTATCAGCACCACAAATTAAAAGGAGTCAGTAAGTCCGCGCTCACAATAAGTTCCAAAACCCACAGTAAGTTCCAAAATCCATAGTAAGTTCGCGCTGTCAGTGCCACAGTGGCGCTATCAGCGCCAGAATTCCATGAATTATTCGCGCTTGAAGCGCGAGATCCGCGCTTCAACCGCCATGGAGTCCAAAATACACAGTAGCTCCGCGCTCAAAGCATGAACTCTGCGCTGTCAGCGCCAGGTTTGAAATTTAGAAATAAAAAAAGGGAAACCCTAAATTTTCCCCTTCACTTTTTCCCTCTCTCTCTATCCTTCTGACCCTCCGTCATTCCCCTTCTCTCTCCCTTATCCTTTTCATTGCAAACCACTCTTCCCACCCCAATATCCAACCAACCACCACGGAGGCCATCATATCAGGCCAACAACCACCACTGAGAGCCACCTCTTCCTCCTCACCTCTTCCTCATCTATTCTCTTTTTCCCCCTCAGCCCACCACATTCACGATTTCACCATATCTTCGGTGACAATTAGGGATTAAGTCTTCATCACATTACTAAAGTTTGCACCAATGGACAAAGCTAAGGTTTGAGCCATATTCCATTTTATGAAATAATCTTTTTTCTGATGACTGGATTTTAAGGGCTTAATTTTTATGTGAAGCAATTTTGGCATGCAGTTCTGTTATTATTATTGGCTGGTTAAATGTTTTGATGGTATTAGCTAAGTAGCTTCATTGTTATTCATGATTTAGGCCAAACAATACTATTGCAAGTAGCTAGCCATAGAACTTACATTGAATGTTCTGTTGAACGATGAACAGATGCATACATGAGAGATTAGAATGGTACTCTAGCATGCCAGGAAAATTAGGAGCACATACATGTCAAAAATTAACCGTGAAAGTTACAATGGTACTCTATATTTAATTGTTAATATTATTGGCTTGGTTCTGTTGCACATACATGTCTGATGAATTGATTGGAAATGGTATAATTGAAATGTCTGGTTTAACTTATCCAAAACTTTTACTTTCCATATGATTGTTAGCTTCTCTAATGGTGATCTGAGTTATTCAAGTTAGGTTGAAGCATGATGGATTAGGAACATGATAAGATACTCTACATGGCTTGTAGGTGCTAAATTAAGATATAACTTGAATGTTTGCACAGTTTGTTGGCTAGTAAATTACATAATGCATGATGGTAGTCTATAATCATGAATGCCTTAGTCAACTGAGATTTTAATTATGATAACATGACTGCTTCTTTGTATTGAGCATGAGGCTTGTCCATATGAGTATGAAATCTAGTCATAGAACTTGAATGTTATCATGTTAAATCTAAGACGTGTCAACAAGTTTTGGTTGCGCGGAAATTGTCATATGATGATTCTATAAGTTCCACAGGGTGCACAGTCACGAAATTGAACCTTTGTCAAGCATTCATAGACAAAGTCCTAATTAATTGTGTCTGGCAGTTCCTTTCTGAATGTAGGGAAAATAGGTTAACAAGAGCAAAAAGGGAACCGCAAGGGGCAAGAAAACTGGCAGTGCATCTGGCACTAAGAGGCCCAGGGTTTCTTCTGAGTTTGAAAACAACAGGTTACTTTCAACTGCTCATCAGGACCAATATGTCAGATGGTTCATGCCCAAGAAGATCATACCACAAAGGCCTATCAGTCTGACCTTGTTTGATTATTCCCCAGCCTGGCAAACAATAGAGAGGAGAAAATGGCACAGCCTCGTGTCATTCCCTGAACCTATCTCCAGCACAATCTTGAAAGAATTTTGACCCAATGCTGATAAGGAGACGGTGGCAATGACCAAGAAGAACTGGGTGAGAGGGAAGGAAGTCCCTTTTGATGCTGCAGCTATTGAGAGCTTCCTTCAAACCACATATCATTCCACCAAGAGCTGCCAATTTATGCAAACATTCAACAAGCTGCAGCCTTCTGAAGGAAAATATCTATATAGGGAGGAGATGCCTAAGATAGCTGAGAGAGTCAGGAGTGCAATCACTCATCCACATTCTGCATGAAAGGCCAAAAGCGGGCAACCAGAGGTTCCAGAAAAATTGGAAAGGTTGGATCTGAATGAGGAGGAAATTTTCTGGCACACTTTCATTAATTCTACCATCATCGCATCAACTAATCTAAGTGATGTGAATGTTGAGCGAGATGTACTTCTGTATACCCTCATGGGTGAGGAGAACCTCAACATTTCAGCTATCCTGTCTGATAGAATAGTTTACATTATCACCCATGAGAGGCCATATGCCCGCCTTGCACATAGCTCATTGACTACACAACTACACAACTATTCCAGCCTCAATAAACCATAAGCATATGACAACACTGAGCAATGAGTCCAAGCGGTAGGCGCTTTGGAGAGTTTCACATGGGCCAGAAGGAGATCCAGTTGCACCTATACCACCTCCACCAAGTCTTGAGCCTGAGCCAGCACCAGCACCAACGGCAGTACTCTATTAGGATTCTCCTGTCATCCAGACCATTCAGTGACGGACACAAATATTGATGTTCCAGAATGATTACATGATGATGATGATGATGATGATGATGATGATGATGATGATGATGATGATGATGATGATGATGATGATGATGATGATGATGATGATGGAGAAGCTGTGCTTAGATCGCGGGATTGATACGGCGAGATTTAGGCCACAATTTTCACCACCTACATCACCTCAAGAGCAGGATGAGCCAATTGTTATGGCAGCAGATGATGCAGATGCTACCATGGAGGATTCTTAGATTTTGCACTCCATGTTACACACTTCACCATTTATCTTAACTTCAGTATTTTCTTTATTTTGTTGTTTTGAGATTATGATTTGGTTATGTCTCTTCATACATTTTACTATTATGATTATTCTGGTTGACGTTAAACAAGTGTGTGTGTGTGTTCCACCTGCGCAGAAGTAACTTCACTCAACTACTTTAGTTTATTGCTGAGGACAACAACATTCGAAATCTGGGAATTGCACGCATATCATATGCGATAACTGCTAACTGCGGAATTACACATCAGAGATGTCTAACATAAAATTTTTCTATTAAAAAGGGGAGATACTTTAAGCTTTCTATTCATTATTTTTTGCTGTTTTTAATTCATTTTTTTAGAAAAAAAATATAACATTCCTGGATTTTAAAAAGCTTAATCAGTCACTAAACTAATTCAATTATAAGAAGCACATGTGATATCTGTGGAGCATCAAATTACTGCCATAATCTGAGAGTAATGATTGCTCGTTTGTATAACTTCTTTGGTGAAAAGTTTTTAGATAATGCTTGTTGTGAAATTTTGAAATTAGATTTTAGCTTGAAATTATATCTGTGAGGATTGAGCCTAAACAGTAAATTTCTTCAGAGAGGCCTCACTGTAGTAGTCTTCTAGAACTTGATAGTTTCTCTAGCTTGCATGCATTATTGATATGATAAAGACACATTTATTCTTGTTAACTTTGAGCCAAATAGCCTATCTAGAAGGAAATTTCCATTGATAAGCCTTTTGAGCCTTAGACCAATTGATTCAAAAACCTGATGAAAGTTACTTACCCTGTTCCAATTGACACACCTTGAAAGAGATTGAAATGTTGATCAAAGAAAAAGTGAAGGTACTTCTCAATGAAAGGTCAAGTAAGTGGAAAAAGGAAAAAGAAGAATGGTCTGCAAAAGTGCAGTTCAAAAGAGAAAAGAAGGAGGTAGAAAAAGGGGGATAAGAATCCCGAATTGACAAAAAGTGGAAAAATTATGAATAGAGAAGAAAGTATTGTTAGAAATCTCAGTATTTTAGTCTCAAATATTTATTAGCCTCTGTCCAAAATATTCTTACCCCCAAACCAGGCCAAGTTACAACTTTTCAAGACCTTTTGATCAGTTTATGCATGTCAAATGTGTTCCTCAATCTTAGGAACTTGAGAATATGATCAAGCCTATGGAATTACTACTACACTGATGGAATGAGTGTTGAAACCTTCAAACACTAGAGCGATTAGAGTTACATATTTATCTAGTGAGGAACATTCAAGTTATGATCTGAATTTCTTGATAAAACTGAAAAGCATTGTTTGGAGTTCTCGACAGTGAAGTTAAACATGCATAGCATTCTGATCTCTTAAGATGTTTGTGTTCCATATTTTCTCTCCACAAAATTGATCCTTGCTTCTCTTTTTGATCTAGTTCATTGCTGAGGACAACAACGTCTAAATCTGGGAATTGTTTTATATGCCTCCAGCATATATATGATTTTAAGCCAAAAGGAGAAAGAATCTTGAACGAAAAAGCCCATAATTGCTATTAAATTGATAAATCTTAATCAGGTGTCTTGTCACTAATTTTCTTATATTTTTGTAGGAAAAAATACAAGGAAAAGGGCCCAATTAATAGCAAAGGGAAAACACATCTCTGAAGCCACCGCGCTACTAGCGCGACACTTGCGCTATCAGCGCCAGCATCATCTTTCATCCATGCTATCAGCGCGAGTCTTGCGCTAGTAGCGCGAAGCTACTGCCTCCACATAATAGTTCCACGCTGTTAGCGCCAATCTGACGCTAGTAGCGCGGGAAGCGCATGATAGTTTTAAACCCTGCATCAGAGGGTATCTGGAGGAGATTGAAAAAGAAAGATTTGATCAGAATTCGAAACTAAGGGAACAAATTCTATAAAAAGAGACTAAGCATCCTGAAGAAAGTATCTTTGGTTGGAGAGAATTTTGAGAATCAAAGAATTGAGAGAATTTTTGGAGGCTCATGCTGGAGATCAGTGTTCTGCAGAATTTGAAGATTGAAGACAATTGATTCTTCCTC